CTAACTGTATTACACCAAAATTATCATCTGGGCAGCTTTACTTAGTGAGTGGGCTATGGTTTCATTAGTAAAATTTTAAGTGATCTTGGGCAAAATTAATCAATGCCGATGCCATAATTCGGGCCGATCTGATCTATCCTTTGTATTAGACCCCGGGTCTTTTGGTCAGTGCACTACGGTATTTGTTTATTTTGCTCTCAGGCACGGATATGCAGATGTACCAGTATGTACGTAGTATCATTTAAAAATTTTAACACCTTTAACAATTTGATTGACACTTAAAAAATCTTATAACAAAATTTCGAATCTTTTTAACTATTTCATACTTTTCGATAATTTAATATCTTTTTTTCTTAAAATTCTCTTTTGACGAAAGTAAAAAATCAAACAACAAAGTTTATTATTGATTTAAAAAAAAAAGAACTGATGTACAGTACAATATAGGCTAGGTGCTGAGAAAAGGAACGAAATTGACAAATTTTTAAACATTTTTTTACTAATCTAAAATTAGTCTAGAAACATTTGTCGCAAAAAATTTTTTTTGTCAATTTCATCCCTTTTCTCAGCACCAAGCCCATATGATTAAAAGAATAAGTTTGGATACAATAAAATATTTTTAATAAACGTGTATGAATGAATTTAAAATGTGAAATGATAAAAAGTATAAAAAAAAGAAGTATAAAGATTTAGAAAAAAAAAAGTGTATAAAGTAAATTAAACCTTTTCAAATCTAATAGTAGAATAACCTTTCGAAGGTGAATATCAATCAATCTTACAGATGTTAAAACAATTCATTTACAGCTTTATAATTTCATCATTTCTAATAACAGGTTGCTCGCCAAATAAAAATCTAGACATATATTTAACAGCTTTTTGAGCACCACCATCTCTTGATATAGGCCATGCGACGGCATAATTATGCAGATTATTTTCTTCGACCACAAATTCAACGCTAACATTTTGGCTTCTAGCTTTTTCAACGAATAATGTTGCGTCCTCTAGGAATACTTCATAAGACCCCATACATATCCACATTTTAGGTAGACCACGTAGATGTCGGTTGAATAACGGGGATATTAGAGGGCATGTTGGAAGTAAGTTAGAGTTACCTAGGTAGTTTGTTAAGCAATTTTCGAACCAAATCTTGCTTATACAATCATCAGCATTATTTGTTTCGAATGTTCGTGAGGTGGTGAGTGCCTATTGTTAAATAAATTATATGAATAATGATGAAATGGGAGTGTAATTATGATAAAATTATATGAATAATGATGAAATGGGAGTGTAATTATGATAAAATTATAAAATTTGAAAGATAATTTACCGAGAAACAAGGCGAGATAAGAAGCAAGCGGGATGGTACAGGAGCAGTGTAGGACACTGGATTGTTAAGAAGTTCCACGGCAGCTACTACAGAAATGGTTGCACCAGCACTATCACCAGCTATTAATTTTTTAAGAATAATTTAGGAATAAAATAAGGACAGATTATACTAACTAAATCTATATATATATAAAGTAAAATAAGACTATTTTTGTATATACCAAAAACGATCTTGGACGGACTAATTCCTTTCTCGTTGACTAACCATTGATAACAATTCAACATGTTGTCACGTGCAGTTGGAAAAGGATGTTCTGGTGAAAGACCTGCAACAATATTACAAATTATCAAAACTGTGTTGTGAATTATGAAAATGGATTAATTACATTAGATGCTATAATACCATATTCTAACGCTAATATGTGTGTATTAGCCCCGTGACTAAACATCCATGATTTAATCCATTTAACGTAAACCACCAGAGATATCAAAGGCCCACCAACATTAAAACCACCACCTACTGCATCATTACATAGGTGTTGTTAATAAATTTGATATATATTTTATAATAAAAACGTAATAAATTGATTAAGAAATATCACCGTGCGCATATAAAATAACTATATCAGCATTGTCGCCGACATCAACAGTATTAGCATTTTCAGCAATAAGGTAACCATTCCATCCGTCCCCACCCTTTAGTCGACGGCACCAATGATCTCTTTGTTTTCCCGTATACATTCCATTTGAGATTTGCTCTACAACGCTTGCCAGATATAATAAATACCTAACAATCCATAATGGTAAGGTTTCAGCGATGGTTTTGATAATTGTGGCAGCTAGTCGTTGTTTTAAATCTGGAGGTGTTCGCTTTGGTTTGAACACCAGAGTCGAGAGATATGATAGAAACGCGAACTGGATTCGATAGCCTTCAATTTCAGAGGCATACGTGTATTTTAGATCAAATTGTAGAATTGATTTTATATAACTATATTCATAACCAATGTTTTTACTTACATAATAGAAAGATGCAGTCAGGAATAGCAAATATTGTATACATCGTCTCTTAAATTTTTTTTTCTATAATGAATATGTGAAATAATCATTCTGAATAAATGTAAATTATTTCACATTAAATTTAAAATTTTCCAAGAAAATTACCTACCAAAAAAAAAGCCTATCTAGAAATCTTGACTTTTCATGTCTCTTTTTATAAAGCCCCTGCCATATGAAAATTAAGAAAATCGTAACACAATAAGTGAAATCTCGACCATGTTTAGGACCCGAATGATAATCAGCAAATTCATTCC